CCCAGCAGGTCGGGCCTACCCGGACCGGTCACTAACCGGGCCACCGGGCCTGAACAGTGCCGGGCCGGGCCAGTTTCGGGTCGGGCCACCAGGCCCCGAGTCCACCCCTACTTTTATATGACATTCATCTATTGGAAGATCAAAAGTTAGACTTGTGGGGAAAAATATCTCCTGAAAATGTCAACTTTTATCGACTATCTAGCGTTGCTCTTTATTGTTTAATAATGAGCTTCAGAAAATTTAAATTCAAGGGGCCCACTCAGCTCGTGCCTCATGGGAAGATGGTGGTCTCTCTTATCATTCCCTAAAATGTTGCATGATATTACTTCAGTGAAAAAAGTAAATAAAGTTCGAATGACAAAGTTATAAATTTACTAAAAGGAAAGGTAAAATATGAATGCAATGTTTGATCATATGTCAAGATAAAAACATAACTTTGAGAGGGTGTTTGGAGCCTGAAAATCAAATAATACAAGGCTTTTGGGCTGAAAAATATTTTTATACCGTTGGGAATCACAAAAACCCTTTTACCCTTTATTTTACGCCTCGTTGCTTCGTTGCCTTCCAAAGATGCGCCTCCTGTGCCATAGGTTTATCTTCCAGAGTTCCAGATCGATGACTTCCGGCTCAGCTGCTAAATAGCTTCGGCATTCCAGACTGAAGAACTCTCGAACGCGTCTCCATTTTTATCTAAATTAAAGGTAAGGTGCGCTGCATCTTCATCTTCATCTTCAATTGTTAGCATTCCAGACTGAAAATCTCTGCTGTTTGATATGTCGTTTGATTTTTTTAATTAAAGGTAAAGTGCTCTTCGGCATTCCATATAATTCCTTGATTGATTTGTCGTTTGATTTTTTTAAATATGAGTTCGTCAAGATGTTCTCTGCTGTAGCCTGTAGGTGAGCAACTAGTACACTCATATTTGTATTTGGCCATAATCTCTTTTCTAGGCATGCTTTTCTATGCTTAGAAGGTTTGGTAACTTAAAAGGTGGCTAATTCGAAAATTCTGAGTGTATATGTTGGGAGTTGCTAAGGCATGGCATTACCTTTCTTTAAGAGGCTAACTCACATTATTGTATAACTGTAAAAGCCTTTCCAGGAGATATTTTATCATTTCATCAGGTCCATTGTATGTGACTATGTGGTAGGAAAGAATTGTCAGGACAAAGCAATGAAACCAATTAAGTGAAATTGATTGGTACTAGGCATACTTTTTGATTGAATGAGAGAGCTCATGTTAGCCACATCTTCTGTGTACTGCTTAAATGACAAAGCATATTCTGAAAGCGTAATATGATCCATCTTAATAATCTGTGTAAACAAATCTTTATAATGAATCAGTATTACATTGAAGGATCCAATTAAACCGCGATAATAGAAAGCATTACACCTTCGCTTTTCTAGTCAGGTCTCTCAAGTCTCAATGTAGAGAACCATTTGGTTTTTTCTTTTACCTGCCCCTCAATTGTAAAAGCTAATACAATATTACATTAGAACTATGCCTTCACAAAGCATTGAACAATCCCTACTTTTTTGCTCATTGAGCCGTTTAAGTTCTCCTCCAGATGCCTCAAACTTGCTAGGCGCCTAATGGACTACTTTCCAAAGTAGCTGTATGGAATGATTAACCTGCTAAAATCCTTTGAGAAAGAAAAGTGGTAGTTTTAAGTCGTATTACTAGGAACATATTAAAGTGTAAGCTAGCTGTTTGGAATGGTATACCTGCCAAAATCCGTTGGAAAAAGAACTATAAGCTAGCTGTAAATCCTTTGGGAAAAAAATGTAATCTAGCTTCCATTAATAAAACGGCTTGGGAAAATTCTTTTTACTAGGAACACATTTACTTAAAATTGCAAGGTTTAATACAGATTGTTATTTCTTGCCATTGCAATATTCTTAATTCATGTATATTTGTTGTTTTTGTAGATTATGAAGTGTAATGTTGAAAAGGAAGTGTGTTTTATGTGATAATGGTAGCATTGCAATAGAAAAACTTGAACGATCTCGTAGTTGGCTGCTTCTTCATTTGAGTGTTGTTTCTTCTTTCTGTCGTCTTTGAGTGAGGTAATTTATCAACACAAGAGGTTGTCGAATGAGGTTCGCGGTGCAAGTTCTCAACATATGATTGCATTACGGGATGAAATAATAGAAAGTTTGTCAAGTAATATGATGCAACGTCGTTGATACTGTATGACAATTGCTTGTATTCTATTATGTTTTTCTTTGTTTAATGTTTTCTCAAACATGTAATGAATTTTAATTAATACTTATGTGTATTTTGTTAAGACTTGTGGTTCCGTCCTAAAAGGTCAACCTTATAGGAGGAGTAGCCCATGTGTTAATATAGCACTTTGTTTATCTAAACTTTTCCGGTGTGGGACATTTAACACCCCTCCTCACGACCAGACACTTCGTCTGGATCGTACCGTCATTCATTTTTTTCGTCGGTTCGTCATTGTCATTTTTTATAATCGTGTAATCATTTTTCATAAGAGGGTCTCACACCATGGATCGATTTGGCTCTGATACCATGTTAAGAGACGGGGTTCAATCCTAAAAGGTCAACCTGATAGGAGGAGTAGCCCATGTATTAATATAGCACTTTGTTCATCCAAATTTTTCTGGTGTGGGACATTTAACATATTTTATGTTTTATTTTTATTTTAAATTAAATGTGTTAGGGTATACTACCTCGGCCTACTACTGTTCAGAGGCCAAGACACTGCCACGGTACGGGACCCAGTCGGCGAGGATCATTTAGGCCAACTGGCCTGTTTCAGCCTTTATTGGCCCATTAAAATAGCCCACTAAAACCCCACCCCTTCTATAAATAGGGAGGTGGGCTCCCATTTGAGGGGACGGCTCTCTGCTCCCAAAATCTTGCCTTCTTCATCTCTTCTTCTTTAGCATAGCAAAAAAGATTCCATTAATGAGAGCTCTGAGATATTTGTACTATGTAAATGGTGAGGAGAGTATTAATGAGAAAGAGCGGGCTTGGACGTTAGCCAAAAAAGTCCCGTGGTTTTCTCCCTTTCCGGGTTTACACGTAAAAATAGCTAGTTCATTCACTTTTATACCGAATTCATCGTCCTTAATATCCAAAGCTTATGTTGGGCTTTCGGATCTACGGGATTAAATCTCAACAAAATGCATTTTCATTTGTTAATATACTTTAGAAAAAGTATATTTAATAAATCAATTTACTCATATTAGTCACAAAAATAATACTAATGTCGTTCATTCGAAAATACACATTTTTTGACGTAAGAGTAAGAATGAAAATTCCAAAGTAATCAATTATTTAAATAGGCTTATAATTAGCTAATTAAGAAAAAGTAGTTTATTAGTAAAATTCACACCTATATATTTAACACAAATAAGTTAATACCCTTTATAGTAATTTCACACACAATCAGCCATTCCAGCCAATATATTACCAAACACTTTCATTTCAGTCTTTTTAGGCTTTTTAGCCATTCCAGACAATGCAGTTGCCACCAAACAGGCCCTGATTTTCGGAGTCCAACAAGAAAATAAGTTACTTGGAGTTTTGGGATGGAAGAACTATTTTTTTTTTATATTGTTGCTTAGTAGTTACTACAAATTACTACAAATAATACGGAAGGGCATGCATCAAAGTAAAGAATGTTGTTATAATATCCGCTTTTTAATATTGTTGCTTATTTGTTTTCAAAAATATTACCGAGTTAAAATAAAATTTATTTACACAAATATGACTAATAATTATTACAACATAGTGTTATGGTCACTTAAATTTAAAAATTGAACATGAGTTATTATGATTAAGTTATTGTTATAGTCACTAGTCAAAATTTGTAAACAATGTTTATTTTAGTCATAAACATGTAGTTATTTCTTTTATTATTTAAGTGGTTGACTCAAACAAAATCTCTATTTGAATAACTGAATTTCAAACAAAATCATATTAGACGTATTAACTACATTTGAGATTCTTTGTTCAAGTAGCTGACTTATTAAATCATACACTCCGTAAGATGCACCTACGAATGATCTCTAGCTATTTAAGTAGACCCTCCTCATGAAATCGTGGAGAGTAAATGAAGGTGTATTTAGCGTCACAAGCGTCTTTAAGAATGTAAATTTGGGCTAAACTGGAAATATGATTAATTCATAAAAATATATACCGTACTTCGTACTCCGTATCAGTAAATAAATTATTAGAAGTAAGAATACTTTAATCTGGGAAGGCCATAGCATGAATTTCCACTCCACAAGTAAACCAATGGGCTCGTTCAGTTGTTGGGTAGTTTACACGTTAATTCTTTACACGCGAAATGATTGCATGTAAAGTTTAGGGAAACAATCAATTTGCATGTAAAATAGATTACATTATTTGATTAGATATTTAATTTATTTTTAATTTGCATACAAAGGCGTTGTAGTGCTTTATAAAAAACATGCAAAGTAATTTACCACCCCCATGTAAAATACTTTACTTGGTACCATGTGAAATGTTTTTTAAAAGTGCTCTACAGTTTATATTAAATAATCAAACCAAACAATGTAAACCTTTTACATTCTTACACTTCGCATGCAAAGTAATTATTTTACATCTTAGGGATACATGTGTTTCAAAATAAGAGCACCGGTTTGACAATAGAACTTCAACAATTTTAAGATGAATTTCCACTCCAAACTCCATAGGTAAACCAATGTGAGCACAAAACTACTTAAATAAAATGGAACTCATAAATAATTAGGATGTTTTCTTTTGGATTATTTTCAGTCCTAGACCAGACCAGACCAGATCAGATCAAACTCGACCAGACCAGATTTTCATAGTTACTCCCTCCGTCCCTTAAAACTTTGTCAACTTTCCTTTTTTGGACGTCCCACTAATTTTGTCACTTTCCCCTTTAAGTAAAGAATTTGTGGTTCCAGTTAATTCTCTCTCCTCTCCTCTGTACAAACATCAACCACACAGTTTTTACTTTATTAATCTCCGTACCGGTCAAACTTTGCAAATTTTTAACGGACGGAGGTAGTATAAAATACATAGAGATCAACCATTTTTCAAACAAGATCAAATGAGACCGGATCAGACCAACAAATTTAACCAGTCCAATTGAAAACATTCTTGCTATCAAAACATTCTTTTATGGTGTCACAACCAATCGTGCAAATAAAAAATTCAATCGTGCAAATGAAAAATCAATAATTACAAGACGATGTCAAAAGTCAAAACCCAACTGCACAAACTCACAAAGCCCAGCAACAAAGGCTCCAAATCGGCAGCAGCTCCAGAAACCGCCCAACACCAGTCAGCGGGCCGGGCAGAAGGTCAGAGACAACCTGCGGGTAAGCGTCCCGTATCTTCCTAGCAACTTGCCCACCGGCTGACAGAAGCTTCTGCTCTTGTCGGCCATTGCAAAATAAACTTCGAAAGCTTGAAGCATTCCTATTATATCTACATTTATTGATGAACTCAATCAGAATGCCAATTGACAAAGAGACACAAAGGCCCGCCGTCCGGCCGGCCGGAGTTTTAAGAACATTGATGAAGAAGCAGTTTTACCGACCCCAAAAACTGAGATTCCTACAGATTTCGTCTAACTGTTCTGTACCAATAGAACAATACCTACTAACATTACAGCCATTACTGTCATTAAATAATGAGTTGTGACCACGTGAAAAGCGCATCACCTTTCCAACTCTGTTTCAGTGTTTCTCTGCTTCGCCACCATCTCTTCTGACTGTGGTCCAAGATTCCTCGTCCCATTCCCCGTTTGGCTTCTCCGGTGATTGGTCACATAATTTTCTGATCCTTCCTAAAGGGGAATCATCATCCTCCAATCCCTCCATTGATCTCTCTGCCCGCCGCCGTACCGGACCCTCCATCGAGTTCCAAATCCCCTGATCAAGAACGCTCGTCGGTGAACTCCGGGATTCCTTCGGAATTTGATTGTTTTGATTCCGTGCTTGTTGGAGAAGGAATGGGTGATTCAGGAGCTTTTCTGCCGTCCATCGATCTCCGGGATTTTGTCTCAGGCATTTTCCCAGGAAATCCTTTGCTTGGTCGGAGAGGGAATGCGGAATCTCCGGCGACTCCCCTGAATATGCTATCCGGTAAAGCAGTGATGCCGGGTCTGTCGCGTTTGGCCACGGCGAGCCGCCGCCGGTGGCCATTTCGATGACTGTGCATCCCAATGCCCATATGTCCGCCGGGAATTCCTGCTCCTTCCCCTGCGCCGTCTCCGGCGGCATGAACATCGGCGTGCCGCCCATACACGCGGCGGCGCTGCCGGACTGTTTCGCGCAACCGAAGTCGGCGATTTTGGCTCCGCCGTCACCCAGCAAAACGTTCCGGCTCTTAATGTCACAATGTACGATTCCTCTTGAATGAAGGTACTCCAGTCCTTGTAAGATTTGGCGCGTGTAGTCAACGATCGCCGATTCTCCGAGCTTCCCGCCGTTTCGCCGGATTCGGTCGCGTAACGTCCCGCCGGCCATGTACTCCAGCATGAGATTGAACACTACGATGTTATTCTCCCTAGTAACATCGTACCCTTTATACCCAACAATCCAAGGACTGCTGATTGTGGACAGAATTGTTTGCTCTCTTTGAAGGAGCTCCGATTGGGAGAGCTCGGCGGACTTGACGGCGAACATCTCCCCGGAGTCGGAGGAGGTGGCGGCGTATACGGTGGCGGAGGAGCCACGGCCTAGTGTATGCCCTCTGCTCCAATTCATATTTTTTAGATAGGAAGAATTGGAGACTAAGGATCTACAAAAATAGATAGCTTGATGCAAAGAAAGATGGTTTGGTTATGTGTAGCTAGCTTCTTGGAGGGCACACTTTGAAGGGTGTTTACTTCTGTTTGGGGTTTTATATTATAAATATTGTTGTTGTTATTTATTTTTTATATTATTTAATTAGACGAGCATATAATAAGGGTATGGACGGAGGAAAAACATGTGTTCCCACGGATACATAGAAGTTAGAACAAACAAATCAAGAGCCACCTAATTACACAAATGAAATCATTTGTGGGACAAATCAAAGAGGTGCATATTTTTCATCTCATATATACTGATATGATATTTAATAATTGGTTCATTCACAGGTCTACCAAATTAGAATACCATTTGGTTAACTACACGGGTAGCTCAACGGTGACTGAGTGACGTTGTTGGATTGAGGTCTCAAGTTCAATTCTCGACAGCAGTAGTGTGAGAGTTTCATACATGTGGTGGCTCCTTGTGCGCACTAGACCCTGAACCACTTCACTCAAAAACCGTTTGATATGATATTGTGAGTTATTCCTTCATCATTTTGTCGGATCGGGGTGTAGAGACGCCTGGGGTTTGCGATTTCACAAAGAATACCATTTGATCATAATAAAACCCCTTTCAACTGATCTCTTTTAATCTCAAAAAAGCTTTAATTTACCCCCAATCTTTTTCTTGAGAATTTCAACTTCATTATGTGGGTAATTAAGTACAAATAATTTTTAGTGTTATACACTGTAACGGGTAGTAAGAAAATGACTAAACAGAGAACTTTATACTCCGTTGTTAAAACTAAAAGAGTGGTTAAAGCTTGGTTCTGTCTTTTTTGTTATACGCATTGTTACTTAAAGAATACGCTCAGCTCAATATATTTTAGACACGATTTGGTTATCTCCACTTTTTAAATTTGGATGCAATTTGATCATTACATAAACATGACTTTTATACTTGTACAAGATAGTAATGTGATTTGTTTTTTCTATTGCAAAAATGTGTTTGACCTTTAAAAATTTAAATACATTCAAATTTATCCCTTTGACTTTTGTGAACTGCCCCAAAGCTGCCACTCAGCGACGACTCAAAGGGAGAAACTGAGAAAGTGTTTCAATTTTTTAATTAAATATAATTACTCCAGATACGCAGTATATATTTTTTCTATTCTTTTTAGTTAACTATTTTTACTTTTCAAGATAATAATGCTAACCTTTGACTCATAATATATTTTTTATACGAATGAAAACATTTATAAATATGAAAAATGATATGAGAATGTTATTTATTAATATACTACGGAGTATCATAAATATATACATATTGGTATTAGTTGAAATGATAGAAAAACATTTACTATATACCACCTCCGTCCCAAAAAATTCTTTCCACTTACATTTTTGAGATGGTCCAAAAAAATCTGCTCTTTTCCCTTTTTGGAAAGGTTTGTGTGGCTATCATTCATTTACATTTTTCTTATTCAGCCACAATCATACGTTTCCACTTTATTCCCACTTTCTTAAACTATGATCCAAGTTAAATCGGAAAGAGTTTTCAAGGACAAAGAGAGTATAATATTTGGCTAGAAAAATAAAAGATGACTAACAAAAAAACAGATGTAGTCACACCATCACTCATTGTTGCATTACTATAAAGTATAAAGGCCCACCTATGGTGGAAGGACGGACTAATGTACGCATTCTTATCCTGTACTAAACCACAACGAGACTGTTTCCGGATGATCATAGACATCATAGTAAAATCCGCGTAAAAAATGGAGTACATGAATAGATTATTGCTTCATAAGAAAGAAATATTGACAATTTACTACGGAGTAATATATACTTCGATCAGAAATTCCTGAATCAGCAACCTTCCTCTTCATCATGCGGCCGCCACCTCATCACCACCACTGGAATGTCATGATTTGTGTTTTCCAAAACTTCTCTTAATTAATGACATAACTAAGTAATAAAAAAAAGTACCCACGAACTAAATGGTATAATTAACTCTAATAAAATATTCGTTTCGTGCTCAACTACTCTAAGTGATCGATGCACCTAGAGAATGGAGGTCTTTTCCATATGGAAGCGGCCTTTTTGGACGTCCTCATTTGAGATTTGGGAGTCCACGTGTCCTCCTGTTAAATATACACCTTTTCCCCTTTTCTTTCTCTCTGAACACTTTAGTTCAGACGTGACAATTCCGTTGACCGGTGTTTACAACGTGGCAAAACTCCCGTGAGCCTTGAACGACTTAAGTAGGCAAAGGGTTGGCATTTGGCAACAATATATGTTAAATTTTCTATTCTCACAATTTAATTCGTTGCCTCAAACTCTTAATTATGATCTCATCTATATCCCAATATCCTTATCCATAGGCCGGAGTTAATTATATGCCTACGTGACACTTTTGTAGTTGTTATTCATTCTGAGCTTCTTAACAATTCTTGACTTGCAAGTTACAAGAATGCAAGATTACATTATATGCTGACACTTCAAATGTTTTTATGGATTTAAAATTTTCTGATAGTCTAGTCTAATCTATTTAAATATATGGTCTGGTCTGAAGTAGTTCAACATGGTCTAATAAATGTATATATACCATGTGTATTTTAAACTGTCGAAATTAAACCTGATTTGTTTTGATTTATCTTATCTGTTCTCGGATTGAAACCAATCAATTAAAAACATCATTATGATTCTATTATATATATGAAACTTCAAGTCACGTGGTTTTGTTGCATGTGAAATATGAATCCATGATGAATTTGGATGAATGTTGAATTGGTATACTCTCTAGGCCATGGAGTCTATGACCCTTGATTTTCACATATAAGGATTATTAAGAGCATTTTCGAATAGTATGTAATCTCCTAGTCTCCTATAATTAAGATTGTTAACATTTTTACTAGTTTTGAAGAACATTTATGGAAAAAAATGAGGGCGCTATGAGTGCAAGGCCGCAAGGGATTAATGTACAAGTATCATGGAAGCACGTCCAACGGGATTATCAGTTACTTTGTTTAATATGGCGAAAAAGGGAAGAAGAAGAAGAAATTATGTGGATGTCGTGAACTAATTAAATACTGTAACACAAAAGTAATTTAATGAATTAAATAATAATTTTTGTTGGAAGTCAATTACAGAGCGACACATCCGACATTTTGTATCTCAATCTTACCATATAAAACACTAGAGAGATCACATATTAAACTAGACCATATTAGATTACATCAAATGAGACTAGTTTGCAACACACTATGTAGTATAAGGAAGTTTTTAATTAGACTGAATTTTTTTGGTCTGGTCTGGTCTAATCTAAACTAATAAATGTCTTGTCTGATCTTAAGTGGTAAATATTTGGTCTTTGTGTGTTTTATAAAGATGTTTTTACTTGGACTGAAATTTTCTGGTCTGGTCTGGTGTAATCTGGTCTGGTCTCTGTGTATTTTATAATTGTTCATGTCTGTTCTGGTTTGGTCTTACCTGGTCTGGTTTGGGACTGAAAACAGTTCAAATAAGAACATTTTAACTATCCAAGTCTAGTATGATCTAGTCTGATCTGTTCCGGGTAACACCCACACTCTTAAGTAAACTGGATGTAACCCAACTTGCAAATATTGATATATTTGCAAATTGCAACTAAAACAGAATAAGATTATTGAGTTAAGAGAACATGGTTATAATATTATGGTCACCAACTCGTCATATCTTAGATAGAAATGTCTATTTGAATGAGTGGAAATCTGGAATGAGTTAAAATAGATGGTGTATATTTGGAAGAGACGGTGCAACGACTTTGGAGTTTGGACATTGATTAAAGTTGGGGGTTGTGGAGTTGGGTAAGTCTTTACTGTTGAACCACTTGGATTTTCTTGTGTTTGAAGGTGGATTTAGGTAATCATGAAGAAAACAAAATATTGGGTGAAAAAGAGTTTCATAAATCATTTCATACTTGCTACTACGTAGTAAATTAGAAGTTACAATCCACCAAGTACATCGTAATAAGGTGCGTGAAAGCTCTAAAGACTTGTAAATTTCACATTCCCAAACCGATTTTTTTTTATTTTTGGCCTTTAATTTAGTAATAATTGAATGTGATTTTGTGACAATTGAAGGTGACCTTTGAACTAATTAATTATGGGTATTGGTAAGTTTTTTGTTCTAGAAGTAGAGGTTACTTGTCACCATTCTTACGGAAGAATAATAGTAGGAATTTCTTGTGGTTTAGACCATTGCAATGTCTCACAAAAAAATGCATGTGATATTGTGATGTTGTAGTCATTCGTACCTTCAAAATCAAGATAAGAACCATCCGAATAGGCAAAAGTCTGTCATCGCCCAGATTTCGCTCTGTATTAGATTCTTTATTAGCTAGATCTTGGATTTTTTGAGGACTCATTCAGCACAAAATTTTATACCATTATTGGATGGAGAATCACAAAGAACATCAGAGGCAAGTCTTTGAAGTATATGAAATGCAATCCTCCCTACGGCGTCAAACATAGGGGTTGACCTGGGCCGATTTCGCTTCCATTTAGGCCTTTAGGGGGAGGATAATTCTGATCCCATTTGGAACCAGTTTCAGCCTCTCAGGTTTAAAATTACTCTCCCCGTCTCCAAATGTTTGTCCTACTTTCACGAAATTGATGTCCCAAAATGTTTGTCCTATTTTTTTCTTTCCTTATTTGACAAATAAAACTTTATCAACCAGTGTCAAACAGTATCGCTACAGTGTCGCTACAATGTCAAACAGTGTCGCTACAGTGTAAAGTCAAATTCATTTCCTTAATATATGTGAAGTCAAACTAGGACAAAAATTTAGGAATGGAGGTAGTATATTTTAAAAATGAGATATTACCCGAAATAGGACTAAAAAGTTTAAAAATTCCAAAATATGAGTGCCATGTTTTATTCCTAAAATAGGACTAATTACTGTCATGTTTTGGCAGTACCAGACTTCAAACATAGCGGTATTTTCCAAACTTGACAATAATTACTTCTATTTTGGGAATAAAAACATGTCAGTCCTATTTTGGAATTATCAAACTGTTTTAGTCCTATTTCGGGAACTTCCTCTTTAAAAATACATAACGAAACGAAAAAAGTCATT